AAGTCTAACTCCCCAGCCCCATGTTGAAGGCCATCCTAACCCCTCTTTCTTCGAATCATTATAATTGTCTGGGGACAGTAAGGTCGCCACCACTACACGAATCAAACAGCCCTGGAGCAGCTGCCAGGAGGGACACTGTCCGATCTGACTCTGGTATTCACGACTTCCGGGCCACACCGCTCCTCCTCTTCGTTCACCCTGTGTTCCAGCCCACTGCCCAGGGGCTGCTTGCTGACCCTCAAGCCCACGTGAGCTAGTCTGTCTCCTGCCTTCACCTGCTGTCCTCCTGAGGTCATCTCTGGCTCTCCAATCCCATGCATCTCCCCGGGGAGCCTCCCTGAGAGCAGCTGCTCCCAGACCTGCTCCGTGGCGTCCAGCACGGGTTAGGAGGCTGTCCGCGCAGCGCTGACCGGTCTGCTTACAGTTGGGTCTTTCTGGGGTGTGCTTTGCCTCTCTTTCCGGGCCTGAGTGGTGAGGGACTCACATGCATTCGTGCATTCTCTACCCACGTGCGCATTCAGTGCACACACACCGCTCCTCACTCTCTCAGACTCTGTGCCCATCAAAATTGGGGCACATGGATGACTTAGAAATAGACTCAGAATCGACTGACCCCCAACTCAGGTTACAGTCCCGGAAGCAAATTGCTCTAACGAGAGGAGAAGCAAAGGACAGAGGGATCGAAGAGGTCCTGGGCTCGCGCTGAGCCAGGAGGAGTTAAGGAAGCCTTTCTGGGCTCTGGGCCGACCCAGGGCAGCGCAGGCAGAAGGCACAGCGGGTGCAGGGATGTGCAGGGAGGTGTGAGAAGGCAGGGGGATTTGGGGAACCATGCAGAGTTCATCTTGAATGAAGTTGGGGTGCGGGGTGTTGGGCTGGGGCATGGTGTAAGGGCTGGGAGGTCAGGGAGAAGAGGTGGAGCGGGAGAGCTGGGGGTCAGGCCTTGAATGTCAGGCGAGGAGAAGGTTCTTTTCAGGAGCATCCCTGGGGGCCCACGGAGCAGTGTAAGCAGGGGCTGAGGAGCTTTTTGTTTTAGGAAGATCATTCTGGAAGCCAGTGTAGAAGATCGTAGCAGGGGCCAGGGCATGAGTGCCGTGGGCGTTGCGATGGCCCAGGTGAGAGGTAATGAGCATGAACCTTGACCTTGCAGCTCAGCAGAACTCAGTGTTGGGAACACTCTGGACAGGGAGGGAGCATATGGGTCAGCCCTGCTCCCTGTGCCGAGTTACTAGGCTGGGCCAGAGCCTGGTTGGGGTTCAGTTGCCCCATCCCTGCTCCGTGGAGGCTACCTGCATGTTCGGGAGTATGAGGAGGGGATTCCCAGTGTCTTCTACACTAGGCCCATCTGTCTGAACCCCGCGACCGGCACCCAACCCTCCCCTTGGAGTTAGGAGGACTAGTTAGAGGAAATGTGAAGTCACTCAGGGAGCCATTGGAGCAGGTGATGTGGCTCCCATGTGCAGGAGGGTGGGGGTGGGGCAGGCAGGATGAGCGGGGCTGAGCCTGGGGCAGGCGACCAGGGCCCTGCCCCCAGTTCCTAGCCCTTTCTGTGCAGCTGAACTGGCAGCTTCCACCTCTGAGGAACACTCCAGCTAAGGCAGGGCTGTGGGGCCCAGGGCCCTTGAAAGCTGCAGGCCAAGTGGGGTCTCATTTAGCCAGCTGCACATTTGATTAATCACCCTCGTCCTGGGAGCCTGCTAATCTGGAAGCTGGCTTTGTGGCTGACTCCTCCGCTCACTTGCTGGCGGCTGGCGGGAGCTGGAGCCTGGGCTGGTGCTGGAGCTGTGGCAGGGGCTGGGGCAGAGGCAGGAGCTGTAACAGGAGCTAGGGCTGGGACTGGGACTGGGCCTGGGACTGGGTCAGAGGCTGGGGCAGGGACAGGGGCTGGGCTGGGGCTGGGACAGGGGCTGGGACTGGGACTGGGCCTGGGACTGGGGCAGGGGCAGGGGCAGGGGCAGGGGCTGGGCTGGGGCTGAGACAGGGGCTGGGGCTGGGGCAGGGGCTGGTGCTGGGGCTGGGATTGGGGCAGGGGCAGGGGCTGGGGTTGGGGTTGGGGCTGGGGGTAGGACTGGGGCTGGGGCTGGGGTCAGGGACTGGGGCAGGGGCAGGGGCAGGGGCTGGGGCTGGGGGTAGGCTGGGACTGGGGCAGGGACTGGGGCTGGGCTGGGCTGGGGCTGGGGTTGGGACTGAGCTAGGGCTGGGGCTGGGGCTGGGGCTGGGCTGAGGCTGGGGCAGAGATTGGGGCTGGGCTGGGGCAGAGGCAGGGGCTAGGCCTGGGGCTGGGGCTGGGACTAGGGCTGAGCTGGGGCTGGGGCTGGGGCAGGGCTAGGGCTAGGGCTAGGGCTGGGGCTAAGGCTGGGGCTGGGGCTGGGGCAGGGGCAGGGGCTGGGGCTGGGGTTGGGGCAGGGGCAGGGAGGTCAGTTTCTGGCTGTGCTGGCTCCACACTCACCTTGTTAACACAAGCTCCTTCGTGCCCAGGTTGGTGGCCTCACCAGCCCTGCCACTCGGATGTGTGGCTCAGGCTTTACAGCAGGAGAGACTAAGCCTGAGGAAATATGGGTCAGTCGAGGCCTCAGGACACTTCTCACCAGTATCTGTGCACACCCCTCGTTTCCAAACCCCCTGATCCCCTCTGCCCAGCCCCTGACTCCTTGCAGCCTTGTCTGCCTTGATGACTCCCTCCTTCGGGAAGCATTGCCCGAACCATCCCAGGAGCTTCACTCCTGACTCCCCATCAGGTGAGGTCACGGGAAGAGCCCTCTGCAGAATTGGCGTATCAGAGGGACTAGATCTAAACATTGAGTAAGTGACTTTATCCTTCTGAGCATTAGTCCCTTGTCTGTGAAGGGGGCCTCTTCTATGCAGCCCGGGGGTCACAGTGGTCTAGTGGGGGCCACGGGGCACAGGGAAGCCCTAAGGCACCTGCTGGCCCAAGGACAGCCTCTCCTGCGTACAGGACTGCGCCCTCGCTCCTGGACTGGCTCTTACCGCCCTTCTAACATTCTACTTCGGCCCAGGCACATACCCGTGTGAATCCTGCACACGAACACCTCAACCACGCCCTTCTGACTCCTTCTCGGAGGCCTGGGGTCCTTGGGGAAGCCTCAGATACATTTTTAGGGGAACTCACAGTCAAGTTCAGAAGAGACAGCCTTATCAGGCCCCAGATCTGGACTCTAGATCTGAGCTTGCGTTCAGGCTGGAGGTGAGGCCTCTACATTGCTTATCCATGTCCCAGACCCCAGTCCAGCCACTGCTGTGCCATCCCCAGGCCCAGGACACCTCGCCTGCGGAGCAGAAAAGGCAGAGGGATGGAGTGAGGGGGGCTTCAGTGTGGTAGAGGGCAACCTTCTACTGGACAGGTAGGAATATTTAAGGCCCCAAATACACAGGGCAGCTCAGAAAGGCTGGGACTCCTGGCGCCAAGGAGCTTCTTCTGCCTGCAGAACCTTGGGGGCTCAGACAGAGCTGCTGACTTGCTGAGCTCTTAGGGGGCGTGGCTCTCAGGGGGCGTGGCTCTCAGGGGCGTGGCTCTAAGAGGGGCGTGGCACGAGGCCTCCATTTCCCAGCCTCCCTGTGGATATAGGGAGCTTTACTGCTCTTTGGGGTTTGGGGTAGGTCCCTTTCTGAGGTTCCCAAGGCAGATGGGGAGAGCGAGGGAAAGGGGGTGGGAGGTTGAGGGCATTTGAGAATGAAGGGAAGGGGCCTTTTCAGAGCTGACCTGTGAGGACAGAGGTCCTGAAAATGGAGGTTCCTGGGGAAGAGTCGAAACCTCATGGGAGAGCTGGCCTCAGTGTTGATTGTCCCCCTCCTGCAGGCCACAGTGAGTCTGAAAGAGGGAAGTGGGAGGGAGAACAGGTAAAGGTGTGCAGGCTGTGTGACCAGCTGTGTGACCAGGCTGGTGCAGGGTGAGCAGGAGGGGCGGCGGGACATGGGCCTGGGGACAGGACAGCTGTATGGAGGGACTTGCTTCCCAGGCTCGGAATTTGATGATGGGATGCCACTGGAGTGCCAGCTCTTGAAAGATTAATCTGGAGAATCCAGAGGCAGAGAAAGTCCACAGACCAAGGCCAATGCCAAGGAAGACGCTATTCTGAGAAGCCAGGATGGAGTTCTGTACTTGGGTAGCATGCGCCTGTGTGTCGGAGGAGAGGAGCTTGTTTCATTCATTTATTCGTTTGACAAATATTGAGAAGCACTGTTCTAGGCCTGGGGCACCCCGTGGATAACACGGACCCTTTCTTCCCCCCCCCCACCCCTCCACCCCGTGAACAACACGGAAATGTCACCCATCATGGAGTCTCGAGAAGGGAGGAGAAGGAGGGGTTGAGAGAAACATTGATGTGAGACAGACACATCAATTCGTTGCCTCCCACACTCGCCCCTACTAGAGTTGGGGATTGAATTTGAGATTAGGAGGCAGACCCCACACCCCCTGTGACTGATTGAATGTGGGGACAAAAGAGGGAAAGGGTTGTGGCCAACGTCCAGCGGGGGGCGGAAGTGGTGCCTTCCTGAGGTGGGGCCTCGGGAATAGACAGCCCTGGGATTCTCGCTGCGGTGTGGTGAGGGTGTGCAGCCCAGAAGCGTCCAGGCGGAGGTCCAGGAGGAGCAGGAGATCTGGGTCAAACAGTTAGAAGAGGGGGCTGGACTAGAGACAGACGGGGCAGTTGTCTGCAGGTAAGTAAGTATATAGGCCAGGGAAACAGCTGCTGTATGGAGGTGGGGAGAGAGGAAGTGCCAGAGAAGAAGGCCCAGGAGGAAGGCCCAGTCCCCGCTCCCCGTTGTCCGCAGGCAATGATGGGCATGCTTTGTCTTGCATAAAGAACCCAGAGCTAAGTGGGACGGGGTGGGGCAGGGCCTGAGGGGCTGGGAGAGATGCTTGCCCACCTCCAGCTCAAGAGGGGGACATTGAATGGAGGGGCAGAAGCACCATAGTGACCTCCCAGTGTCTGGCCAGCAGTGATGGGGGTGCCTGCTCATGGTTCTCTCTTTTTCTGCAGGAGAAGGGAGCGCGCCCTGCACATCCAGCATCCTGCAGGAGAAGCAGAGTGAGTCACCCTTCTACCCCCTGCCCCCATCTTTCCTTTCCTTGAATGGGTCCAAGCTCCACCGGAATGGGGCCTCTTTCATCCACTCACAGCCCAGGGGGTGGTAGGACCTTCATCCTCATGCCTATGAGCAGGATCAGAGGGCCTGGGACCGCTCTCTGCCCCATGAGCTGAGCCTGGCTCCTCCAGGCTGCCTTCTGCCTGTGTTTTCTCCGGGAAAGGAGCAGAGGATTCGGCCAGGGAAGACTTGGCAAAGATGGCCATTTGCTGACAAGGTAACCTCAGGACATAGTGCCCGGAGGAGTGGGGTGACCTTGTCTTTGTTCTGGGCAGCACTGAGTTTCCCCTGAGGCTGGGGGCAGGGAGAGGAGCCCGTGTGTGTCTGGGAGGAGGATGTATGCTCAGAACTTCCCTTGCTTCTCTCCCCTACTATTGTGATGTGTGGTTGCAGCTTTGGGACTGTGGGGAGGAAAAATAACTTCCCTGCTACCCTTCTTGTAGCTGGACTACAAGATGACATGGACATGAAACAGGTTAACAGGAAAAAATGACCACGTTGATTACATAGGTACTCATAGGAGCTCCCTAAGCACACATTGGACTGAGGAGATGGAGGCAGGGGTCTGGGACGTCAAATCAGGGAGGCAATTCACAGGTAGATGAGGCATGTTTGCTGGGCCCAGGAGGCCACAGAGGGCATTGTGCCGGCTCCTCCCTGTCCCACACTCAGTTCGTGTATTGTGCTGGGTGACAGCCTCTTCCTGTGGGCAGGTTCTCTACCTGATTCCTTTAGTAAGGTGAGGGGGAGGTAAAGACTTTTTCTGAGTCTTTTGTTTCTTAAAAATAACCAGCTTAAAATAATACCTCAAAAGCCATATTTTGGGGTGGCAAATTCTACTTTCCTTTGGGGGGGAGGGGGCCTCAATCCGCTCTGCCCACTTCTTCGCAGGTGCAAGCCAACCTCCTCCGTCCCAGTGCAGGCCGGGTACCTGCCATGCCAGCTGCCCAGGGCCTGCTGCAGCTAGAGGAGGTGTGCAGGCCTCCTGAGGAGCTTTCTTTCTTTCTTTCTTTCTTTCTTTCTTTCTTTCTTTCTTTCTTTCTTTCTTTCTTCTTTTTTTAAAATATTTTTTATTGATTTTTTACAGAGAGGAAGAGAGAGGGATAGAGAGTTAGAAACATGAGAGAGAATCATCGATCAGCTGCTTCTTGTACACCCCCTACTGGGGATGTGCTCGCAACCAAGGCACATGCCCTTGACCAGAATCGAACCTGGGACCCTTCAGTCCGCAGGCTGATGCTCTATCCACTGAGCCAAACCGGTTTTGGCTCCTGAGGAGCTTTCTGAGGTCTACCATGCAGTGGCGATGCGAGACAGAGCCCTCGGAGCTGGGAGGCATAGCGTCTGTCAGGGGCACGCCCTAGACGCAGGCCACAGGGCACTTGGGGGGTGGGAAGGGGAGGGCAGTGCAGGGAGGGGTCACTTTCCCTTTCCTGTGTCCTCACAGAATGTAAGGGGCTGCACTCAGCTAGGTGAGGGGAGCGGCGTTACAATGTACCCCAGAATTTTAACTTATAGAGGCGACTGAGTGACCAATCAGAGAGATCAATGCCATGAAAAACCTTATTATTTACAGTTCGCAAGTGGAGGGGCCACGCCACGCCACATCACGCCACGCAGGGCCACAGGGGAAGCAGACAGAGGGTTGGTCGGGGGGCAGAAGGAGGGGAAAGCCTCTGTGGAACCTCTTGTGTTTTCCGAGGGAAGGAAGGCAGGGCAGAGGAAACCACTTAGGGCTGGCTCATTCCAAAAGTGTCTGAGGCTCCGGACTCCTGGGCTATAATCTCTAGTCAGCTACCTGGCCCTGGGTCATTTAGGGCAGGGAATTATGGGTGTGGTGTGAGAGTTAATGCAAGTGGATTGATTGGTTTACATATGACAGGCAAAGGCCAGTTTACTGTGTCCAGGAATTGGCACCTCCAAGATGTCAAAACAACATAAAGTGAAAAGAACATGATTAATATAGGGGTGTTGGGAACCTGAGAGAGGAAAAGGGCCCAGATCGTTCCTGCCTCTAGGACCGGAAACCACAGCCAAACCACAACGCCAATCAAATCGACCAGATGTTTGGGGTCTTCTAGAACTGGCTAAGAAACATGTGTGTATAAGTTTATTTTTTCACCGCAAGTATAGATTGTGGTCAGAATTATGCTGCTTAAGGATATTATTATTTTTTTAATATATATATTTTTATTGATTTTTGTACAGAGAGGAAGGGAGAGAGATAGAGAGTTAGAAACATCGATGAGAGAGAGTCATCTATCAGCTGCCTCTTGCACACCCCCTACTGGGGATATGCCCGCAACCAAGGTACATGCCCTTGACCGGAATCAAACCTGGGACCTTTCAGTCCCCAAGCCGACGCTCTATCCATTGAGCCAAACCGGTCTCGGCAGGATATTATTTTTTAAAACATACTTTTATTGATTTCAGAGAGGAAGGCAGAGAGATAGAAACATCAATGATGAAAGAGACTCATTGATCAGCTGCCTCCTGCATGCCCCCTACTGGGGACCAGGCCTGGGACCAGGCACGAAACCCGGGCATGTGCCCTTGACAGGAATCAAACCCAAACCCTTCAGTCTCCAGGCTGATGCTCTATCCACTGAGTCAAACCAGCTGGGGCTGGGATATTCCTATTTAGTGGAGAATAACAGTAGGTGATGGAAGAATTCCAGAGCTGAAATGCTCGCAGAAGTCAGTGATTCCCAGGACAAACCTGTTTTGACAGTGAAAAAATAGCAACACTGTTAACGTGTTTCTCCACTCAATTGGGAGGACTGTGTTTTATTCCACAATTGCATCCTGACTACAAATTTTGCATTCAAATAATTCCTCTTTTACAAAATGATGGAGGTAATCGACGGTGATTTGTTCATTTTGAATCCCCAAAATTGGCAAAATAAAAGTCCGAGACCCTTAATAAAAACAGAATTATAGCAAATGCCCGATGTTTACAATGTGATTTGCCATGTACTGTCACATCTATGTATATTATTATAATTTCCACTGGGTTTTCAAAACCTCACTAAAAGCAAGGTGGGAAGTGCTGCCAATTGCCCTGGGCCAGCAACCAGAAGATCTGGGGCTGGGTTCAATCAGATGGCCTTAAACCCTCACATCTGAGCTTTAATGGGATTGACCTTGGGACTGAGGCCCAGTTCCTTTATTTGCTCTGCTGTGCCTCTTTGGACAAGTTATCTAACATCTCTGAGCCTCCGTTTGCTCAGTTGTGGAAAGATGACCACAATGACTACTTCCTAGATTTGCTGATGGGGTGGAGATAGTATATGTCGGTGCCAAGATCTGCACCTCTCACAGAGGGCGTTATTGGCGGGGTGCCTTCTGTGTCCCCTCCTGTAACTGGTAGAAGCAGAGTTCTTCCATTTCCCGAGGCTCCCGTGGGAGGATGAGATGTCGTGGAAGTTTTATCGATGATGTAGGATGAAAGGGGTTCCTCTCCAGGGTCCCGCCTCCCTCGGTCCTGCCTTGGACAAAGTCCAGCCGTGTCTTCAACAGGGCAAGGATTAAAGCCACTGCCCAGAGTTCCCGCTCCACACTAAAGCACAGTCCCGTCTAGCATCTGGCTAGCTTAGCCTGTGCTCCCAGCTGCAGTGCGTTGGGCGTGGGGCCCACAGGGCTATGGGCCGTGTGGTTGCTAAGGCCACGTGATGGGCTAGTGCGCGGGTGAGTGCAGGTCACAGAGCAAAAGAGTGCAACGAAGCGGGAGAGAAGCAAGAGAGAATAAGAGAGAGAGAATTCCTTTGTCTGGGGATTATGTATTTCCAAATCCTCAGGGGCGTGCATTGGGGTCCCCCCTCCTAGCCAATGATCTTTCTTCCCAGGTTAGACTGACAGGCAAGCACCTTCCCTACTTCACCCTGACCTCATGGCCCATGTGCCCATTTCCCCTCTGACCCCTGCCCCCAGAGATCTGCAGGGAAGGGAATGATGGTGGTTCCCTGGGGAGCGTGACATTGCAGCTTGTTGGTGAAGCTGCCCAGATGACCCTGCTGATCATGTCTGGCTTCCCCGTTGCGTTCGTTCTATTATGAATATCAGCCAGCTAATTATGACAGCGACAGAAGCACTTAATGGTTCTCACCTGGTATTGTATTGGCTTTTGGATGAGCCCTGGCAACTGGCATGCCTGGCACAGGTGTGGGGATGGAGCTCATCACCTCACAGAGCTGTCTCTTTGCTGGTCCTGTGGCTGTCTCAGTCGTTACTGGCTGTTCCCTCATGAGTCTGAGTCCCAGGAAGCCCTCCTGTACCTGCCACAGGAAGTGTGAGTGCAGGGAAAGAGGCCTGCCCTGGGCCATCTGCTGTGGCCTTGGCCGGGGGAGTGTCCTAGAACCATCCCTCCTTCGTGGCTACCAGGCGGCCCCAGACTTCATCACGCTGCTGCTGTGCTTCTTATTTGGAACCGGACATGAGAAGTCCGGGAGCCATTGTTGTGGGGCTGGATAGGGGCAAAGGAGAGAGAGCCTGGGTGGTGGTCCGAGACCTGGGTCCCTCCCACTGACCTGCTGTGCAGCCTCAGCTCCTGCCTGGGGACCACCTTCCGTCCCGCCTCTGGCGCCCCCTGTACTTGGAGTCCCTCAGCTGTTCTGGTTTTCTGTTGCTGCCTCTTTGTTTCCTGGTTCCTGTGGTCTGCATGCTTTCCGTTCAGTCCTGTCCACGCCACTCAATGGCACAGCGGATGCTGACACAGTGCTTCCAGCCCGGCCACCACGGTGCTGGGTGCGAGCCCTCAAGGCACTAAGCATCTGCTCCTCGAACCTCATTCCTGAGCCTCCATCCAAAGGAAATGGTGCCGTTTTTCACAAACCCCAGCTAGAAACACAGGGCCTCACTAGACCGCTTCATCTCTGTCACCTTCCAGAGTGAGATCGGAACCCTGCCGGCATCCATGCTACCTCCAGCAGATCTCTCCGCGCCT